CTCTCCTTATCGGACTACCACCGTCGTACTACGACTCCATCGTTGAGGCGGCACAGCTGGATGTTGTGAAGCCACCTGTCGAGCCCACCGAAGCTTGCCAAGTATCTCGAAGGAGAAGACGTTGAGTTGAATGAGGCCGAGAAGAAGCGCTTCAGGTCGACATTTGGTCGATTAGCGGGGTTTTCACTGACAGCACCACCCTTGGCTTTCCAGGTGAGTTTTTTGAGTTGCTACCAGAGTAACCCAACCAAGAACGGATGGGAAGCGTTGAAGGATGTGCTGAGGTACGCAAAGTCGTTCAAGGGCTGTTCGCAATACATCGGACAGTCGGAATGGGGCCAGTCAGTCGAACAGGTCTCTGTTGTTGTGGATGCAAGTTGGTCTACTCGCTCCGTAATGGGCGGTTTGTGCTTTGTTGGAGGCACCATGGTGAAGTGCTTCTCAAGACGTATCCAAACGGTATGCCTTAGCTCTTGTGAGGCTGAGCTCCATGCCTTGGTGGAAGGAGCTCACGAATCTTTGGCGATAGCGCTGATGACTGAGACGTTTCAGAAGGGATTACCAAGTTGTGATTCCCTCGGATTCCACAAGAGTGTGGAAGGAACATTTGCAGTTGAGATGCACTCTGATTCGGAGGCAGCTATCGCAGTCGGAAAATGTCTGTACGGTTACAACAGTTGGTCGAGTCGGGAAGGTTGCGCTTGAACTTCGTCCCGGGCCATGAGAATCCAGCAGATCTTCTGACTAAGGACTCAGATAGGATTCATTTGGACCTTTGTATCCAAGCCTGTGCACTTCGTCGTCAACTAGGATTTGGTCGTTTGCGTGACTACATCAATCAGTATCAGGGCCTAGAGTTGAAAGGCGTGAGGAGGCGCAACCAGGCGAAGATCGTTGCTTGTGTTGAAAAATGGTTGAGCAGACATGAAACGGTTCAGCGTGTTGATCCAGCATTGAGCAACATTGAGCGTGTTGATCCAGCATTGTGCAACATTGAACATGTTGGTTCAGCATTGGATGTTGGCTTGAAGTGTGAAGATAAGTCGACTTTGACGTTCGTCGATTCACTTGTTGAAACTCGGACTTCGACTTCGGAGGACACTGGGAAAGAAGGGGAAAACCCCAGTAGGCAGGAAACTGCCTATCTCACCGAGCCGAATGAGAGGCGCGTGACGTTCGAGGGAGAAGCCACGATCTTTGAGGTTCCAGAGAGTCTTCTAGCTTTTAGAGCTATTCCGAAGAGGTGGAAGGATCTACTAAGTAGAACGCATATTATTAGTCACTGGCACCGAGAGTTTTCTACGTTGTTCATAGGATTCAAGCCCCTGATTGTTGAGATTTGTTGTGAAGAAGAAAGTGGTATGTGTGTTGTTTGCAGAAGACTTCAACTACCATATATAGGAGTGACTAAGAACATTGGACTCACTGGACCCCCCAAGCAGATTCTCAAGTGGGTCAGAGAATGTCAGAGACATTCAGCGTGGTGGCTATCGACACCATGCACCGCAGGCTGTCGACTCAGGCATTTGAATTTACAGAACGAAAAACATCTAGAAACGTGGCAGAATAGGTTTCTAGCACACAGAGAGATATGGAAGGCCATCAGGGACATCTTTGGTAAGAACTGGAAAACGAAACGGAGTATTCTGGTAAGTCATGAATGGCCTGTGAACTGTGATCTCTTTCAAGGTGTCTTGTATCAAGATGTTGCCAAACTTTTGTGTTTGCAGTTTCAGGCAAAGGTAAACAGGTGTTGCCTAGATGGTATCCGTAAAGAGTGGTTAGTTCACACGAACTGTGAGTCGTTTGCAGCCCGCGTCGCCACTGGAACTTGTGCCTGCACCGAAAAGCAGGATCCAAAGAACCTAAAGGATTCAGGCAACTACTCTTCTGCTGTCGCCCTACGATGAAGAGATGGGCACAAGGGTGAAAAGGGATAAGAAAGAGTTTCACTGTTTTGCATGATCTTTGCATGTTCTTTTGAACTGAAGTCAAAGAAAGATGTTTTAGCATGTCTGGTACGAAACGTCGAGACGGAATAGTGGAAGCTTATTTTTGGAAGCTTAAGTATTTCGTGCTGCGCCGGTTTGGAAGATTTCATTGTTGGGTTGGAGAGAACCTGCAGAGAAGAGGCTCGAGATGTTGGAGCTGATTTTTCTCTCCATTACCGCTCAGGCGGTAGTGATCCTCATTTTGACGTGTGTCATTTGGAGGTGGCGCAACCAGCCGCCTTGCATGGAAGATGGAAGAGAGCGCTCTCCAAGGGCGCCCCCGTTGCCGACCGACCCAACGAGTGAAGAACGGAGCGCAGCAGCAGCTCGCCTTACGGCGGGAATGTCCAGCAGGATGATCCCAAGTCCAAGGACCCCGGAAGAGGTCTTTGAAAGTTCAGGTGCAGCGGGGGTCCAACCTGATCCATACACCAAGCCCCAGCAGAAGACTGTGCCAAGAAATGATCCGGAAGAAAGCAAGGATGAAGTGAGGACTCCTAGCAATGAGTCACTCATTGACGTGAGGGAAGCATCCAATGGAGGGCACAACTATGTCGTCACGAAGACTGGCACTCATTTCCACAGAGCTTCGTGCACCTATGCTCGCAGAAGCAAGCGAGTTGTCCAAGCCCGCCTGTGCGAGAAGTGCTCGGAGAGGGTCCATTTGGGATTCTCGAAATTCCAATTGTGCGTGTTTCAGCACCACACGCTACATGTGGATGTCGCCTGCAAACATGGAGATCCTCGCGATGAAGAGTATCCAAGAACGCCATTGAAGCCTTGCTTGACGTGCTGCCCTACGATCAACAGAACTCTTGGCAAGAGGGTCTTGGAATGGCCGAGAAGGCCTTAAAGATGGAAGTGTTGGCTGGCAAGCCAAAGTTGGTGGCCGAGAAGGCCGTATGAAGGAATGGCCGAAATGGCCTTGTGGTTTTGGACCTTAGAGGTCTGCCGATTTGCAAATAGCCTTTAAATAGGCCAGGAGTTTCAGTGACCCCCAGTCACCAAGACTGGCGATGGAGCTGATCTCAGAAACGACAAATGAACTAATGTTGAAAGGAAAAAGAAGAGATTCTTAAAGAATGTTTCGGTCAAGAAGGGGTGTGAAAGAGTGTAAACCTCGAGGACTGTGTCTAGAACTGTGTGACCAAAACCATTTTCCTTTCAAGCGTTTTCACCTTGCGTGTTCAGATTTGGTTTCTGCATTTGATGTTCAGTTGCAATCTATGAAGTGCTTTGGGTAGATCTCACTACATGTGAAGACCTTGAGATTATCTAGTTCTCGTTCACTGTCATTGGAGCTAGATGACTTGTCGTGCAGATGTCAACTTTTGTTTGCACACACGTATGAACGTGAAGTCCACTTGCTGTGCAGAGTGTACCGAACTCAGTTCCTGTGAGATGCGCACGGAGAGTTACAATAGATGTTGAACACCTTGAACTGTTGTCTTTGGAACGTTGTCCTTTGGTAAAATTGTGTTCACCCAATGTCCCTGGTACACAAGGATTGGAAATGAATACATTCAGTCCTGACAGTTTCCGCTTGCATTGAACGTACGGACAAAGGTCAGAAAGCATCAGAAGTGAACTTAGTGTTTCACAGATGCATTGCACGAACATGTCAGTTTGTTTGCTTCAGAGTTGCACTGTTTGCAACGCGTTGCGTTACGTTGCATTTCAATTTGCTGATTTGTAGATTTGAGTTTGTTGAATTATAGTGAACTACAGATATGATAGATGCCACACACGCACTGTACGACACGCACTCGCAGGATTGTGACGCCAGTTTGCTTTGCCCAATACGCTAACAGAAACAGTTTGAATTGACCACGGTCAATTTTTGAACCTTGATTCAAGTCAAGTTTTTGGAGTTCTGCGCACTCCTGTTCTGTCTGCTTGGCGTTCACCTTGGCGCTTTGCGTTTGAGCTGTGTGTGCATCTGTGGTTTTGGATTCCACGTGAGCACCCTTACAGGCTGCACTTTGGACATGTCGTTGACACGTCACTTGGGTACCTGTCTTTGCTTGTGCACGCGTTTTGTGTTTGGCTGAATATCCCTGAGGGATGCCTGCAAATCCGTGACATCGATCTCTGCGCAGTATTGATCCAAGTCGATGTGTCCCCGATGGTCTGTGCCCACCTCTAGCGGTTCTCACGACCCACGCTGTTGTTTGGACTTTGTTGGAAAAACAACCACCGGAATCCAGCCAAGAAGTGAATTCAGAATGTGTAGATTTGAAATTATGAGCTTTTGAGTGTTTTTCGTGAAAGAGAAGCAGCCAGTACTTGTACAGATGAATTCACGAATTCATCAATGAAACAAGAATATGCCACGAAATGTGGCTCAAGCCCGGAGAGAGAACAAAAGATCTAAATAGATCTTGGACGTGACGCGTCGTGTGGTAGCGCGCTTGTTGTTGCGGTTTGCTACCTTTACATTGGTTGGTTTGGTTTGGTTTGGGTTGGGTTGGGTTGGGTTGGTTGGTTGGTTGGTTCTGTTTTTGTTTGCTTGTTTGATTCATTGATTGATTGCTTGATTGATTCATTGATCGTTTTTTGTTGTTTTGGGGTTTGGTTTCTTTGTGTGTGCTTTGGTGTATGATACATAGATATACTGCATGATACTGCATACATCTTACTCTTGTGTTTCAAAATCAGTTGTGTGATTCCATATGCCCCGATCATAGACTGCTTTCCCAAGGCTGTTCGTTCGCAATGTTCAGAGCCCTTACTTACCCTGTTGTTTGTTTGATTCGCCTCGATTTCTGGGGACATGCGTGGATACTTAGTTGGTCAATCAAGATGTTATGAGGAACATGCACAGAACCATGAACATCATGAATCCCTCGTGTTAGAGGCACGGGACATCTAGCTTCAGAGCATTGAGTGAGATACAGTGGAGGCACTGTGGGTCGTGTCTTTCGTTCACATCGCAAACCCCGGTCATGTCCAGTTCTGCCGAACGCGGGGGGAGACCGGGAGACCCGTTTGGCGCGTGTGTCGCTCCAGGAAGTGCAAGGCGATGTGGGAGGAGGTGGACCCCCTCAGCGGCTTGCCACTCCAGTGGCAGGACACACGCGTGACGATGCACAGATGGTGGGACTGGGTACGGTGTCACGGTGTTGGTCTCTTGGAAGCAGGTGCCGGAGTGTGACATCTACAGTAATCAATCTTCTCTCAAAACGTGTTTAGACCATGTTTAAACAAAACAGCTGTATATAATATAGATAGTAAAGGATATTAGATATATGATATGATCTAAAATCTAATAGGTGCTATATAGTAATACATATGTTTCAGGCTCTGAGTTCTTGGTGTCCTCTTCTCACCTCTCCCCACTCTCAACCCTTCGTGCCGTCGCGACCTGACGCCGGGTGCCGTCGCACCGAGACCGGAGGACCTCACGACGGGCCAAGAAGTCGTGGACCTCACGACGGGCGCAGCCGAGGCCGCGACGCTGCGGAGGCGGCAGGCGGCGCGGCGTGCCGGGTCGACGTATGCGCCGGAGTTCTTGGGACGCTTGGTGGGGAATCATGAAGAAGAATGGCAGAGGTGGAAGAACCCTTTTTGGACCATCTGATAGGTAGCCCCCAGGTCACGAGTCCTAGTTCAGGTCACTTAACTTCTGGAATGGCTGAGCCAGGAGAGGACTGGAGAGGACTCGCAAGGTGACATGATATTGGGGCCAGGCGAGTGGCATCGGGTGGCAGAAGAGAGGACGGGAAAAGGGATATGCGGGATCTGTGGGATACTTGTACGTGGTGGAGGGAAAGTGGGAAGGGGGGGATGGTGGAAGCCGGTAGGGTATGGTGGAAGCATGTTCTGGCCAAGAAGCTACCTGACTAGGTTTTGATATGTTTTGATTGTTGGGATTCTGGTTCGTGGCTTTCCTGGTTCTATCAACTCACTTCTATTCACTCACAAACCATATCTCTCCATTCCAAACCGTCGCACAGCTTTCCACTGTCCTAGGACTCTTGGAGGCCGCTTTGGTGAAAGCCTGGGCGGCCTTTGCGCGCAGCGCGGCCGACCTCGGCGCGGAGCGCAGCGCTCCGACCGCGGCAAGGACGGCGCCGAAGGAACTCTTGCGGGCGACGGAGCTGGTGCTGAACGAAGCTAACGAGCTGCAAGAGACTCATGGTGGAACAGGTGGAGTGGTGGTGGAATCCGTATGTCCGTATGTCCAAAGCATAGCCATTTGGAAGACAAATAGCCTGTTTGAATGTCTAGTATTGGTGTGGCGGTGTTACCAATGTTCCCTTGACTTTGTTGTTGCTAGTAAAGTTTGACAACCCGCTCCAAGTCAGAGTGTTTGCATCGAATCTACATCATCCCTAGAATCATCAAATGATTTGTTCAAGAAATTAAACATGTCATGGCCATGGCCAATTTTTTTGCAAACAAGTAGATTCAGTGTACCGGTAGATAGCACAACACCCATGCCATGCACTGTTTTAGTTGCACCCTACTTTAACTTTGGTGTAGTTCCTTTTGATAAACGTGGCAGTTTAGATCAATTCAATTACTGTAGAGTTAGTGGTCGAGACGGCAAGAATCTTTACACAATCTTTTCGAATCAGCCTGAATCAGCTTCTTCCTTGCCATGTTTGAGGAAGGAACAGCGAAAGGCTGGCAGCAACGAGATCGGCATGTTGGCTTGGCGCTTGCTGTTGAGGACACCAGAGCCCCTGGGCGATCAGAGAGGTGGATGGCTTGGCAGGTTGGAGAGGCTATTAGGATTTTCAGGCGCCAAGCATAATGTGGGCAGGGAGGAATGTTCATTGAGGAGGCTTTTGGCGTGGATCTATGGATACATAATATGATTAATCTGTGTCATTACATAACTGTATAATCAGATACCCTAGTTCATATACAATCATGGAAGGGGAATTGTTTGGCCAGGAGATGTTCCTCCCCCAAAGGGGTGCATCGTTTCTGAGGATGTTTGGAGGTCAATTCTGATGCTCAGTACTGACTTCCACCCACCCGGGCCCCGCATGCTCAGATCGCTCATCTCCACGCAACATCTACGCAGCTCGTGGGGTGTGAAGAGGTCACAGTGACGGTTCTCCAACCATACTCTCAGATAGATTAGTCGCATCGGTTTGCACTAAATGTTGCCGTTACTTGCGTCGAAAGGTCTTCGGGAAGTCGCATCGGTTTCATGATTCCATGCTGTTTTGAGAACATGCGACATGCAAATGATCTAGCTAACCTTTCTTTCAATGCTACTGGGGCCTCGCTTTAAGTCGTATCAACTGGAGGAAAGTCGTATCAAAATGGTGTGCCCTTGGGGATTGGCTTTTCGGAGGATGTTTGTTGTTGTTCTATTTGTTCTACGAACTGATGTTAATGTGCTGTGCCCATGCGTTGCTTGCTTGTGTGATAGATTCAACAACCTTGTTGCATCATTGCATCGTGTTTTTGGAGGTTCACGCTGAACTCCCAACATGTCAGGTGATGCTCCGGATGAATGTTCCCCATTGAAAGATCAAAGAAGAACCCATACATTGCGACGCAAAAAAGAAAAGAACGAACACGAGGGAACGTAGGGATCCTCGGGTCCTGCTCTCAGGTCCTGTGAAACCACGGTCATTTTGTTGTTCTGTGCAAAACATACCATAGGACCATGGTGGTGGCTTGCCAAAAAATCCCAGCAAACCCCCGGAGTCCCCGTACACAGTCGGGTCCACGGTCATCAGTTGGTCGGTTGACATGCTCAGGTCCAACGCGCCGGTGGTTTGGGTCTTCGTCCGCTCGAAGTCTGAACGGTGAGGTTTCCGGAGGGCCGATCGGTGGTGCTGATTGCCAATGATGTGACTCATCAGGCCGACGGCCGGTCGCGCGTTCGTCGTCGGTTGTAGAACTGTTTGTTCAATGAGGTTCTTTAAGGCATGGAGGCATGGAACCCCCAGATGGGCGCCTGAAGGAGCATGGAGCTGGTTTGACAGAAAGAAAGAGCATAGTAGGACAGAGGCCCAGAGAAGAGAAAAACAGCTTACAAGCAGACCCTGAGTTCCATCGAAGAAGTCCACCTTGACCTAGACATGCTGAAGCAATCGAGAAGGGTCGGGTCGTTCAATGGATGGCCCTGAGTTCCATCCGCGCCAGGCAGGGTCCTTTGGAGTGCAGGAGGATCACTTCTTCAAGAAGGCCACAGAAGCGTGGCAGGGACTCACTGACTACACTCCAGGGCCCAATCACCATGGAAGTGGAAAAGGCCACTCACTAGGGTCTTCTGTTCCTCGCTACCGAACGGAACAAGGACGCTACGATCGGGGCTCCTGGCCGTACTACTAGGAGCAAGTAACTACTAGTAACAAGAAGGCTACTATTAGCAAGAAGGCTGCATGTGGTCATCCGAACTCGAGGCCATGCCTTTGCGCCTCCCACACTTATTGTTTGTTCGGATCGCGAAGGAAAACACGATTGGGGACTTCCTGGATTTGAGGGACTAGAAGCCCTAGCTGCTGGTTTGAAACAGATGCAACTGGGTTGTCCCAACTCACCACCATATGTTCAACCCAAGAAGTCACTTGTTGGAAGTGAGGACATTTGGACTAGATTGCACCATTTTGGACTCAGACTCAACCTGAGTGTACTTTAGAATTCGGACTCACGCTTCACCCAAGGAATTCCAATTCCTCACCTGCTTCCTGGGAGTTCCAAGGAATATGCACGCCAGCGTGGCTTGCCCAGAGTCTACATCGCTTGCAACAGTGGTGCACGGGTGGGCCTGGTCGAGGAGATCATGCCTAAGCTGCGCGTTCAATGGACCGATGCGGCCGATCCCTCCAAAGGCCGCCGGGGAAACCGCGGAAGACGCCACGTCCGGGACGGCGTGCGGGGCCCATATCCCCACGGGCCACATTATCACGTGTAATGTTTGAGATCCTACAAGTATGTAAAACAAAACACTTCAAGATAGTTCAATACATATATATAGAGATAGAGATAGATAGATAGATGACTCTTTTAATCTCTTTTACATTGATGTGTGTGCAGTTTCAATGAAAGCAACTACGTGGACAATAATAATTGCGTATTTGTCAACGGTTCATATTTACTTTCAAAAATGTCAATGATTAAACGAGAAAGCAAACCATAAATTTAAGAAAAACACAGTGGATACATATAAGCTGAAATGCATACATATAGTTCTTATCCAATGGTCAATAGTCTATATAAACCGTTGTTGTTGTGTGTTGATGAATTTTTGGCCATATCGTGTTCATTTGAAAAAAATATTCCAAAGTGACATGTTAAAAACAAATGAGTGTGTGTTATTTTTCTAGACTCGTCAGAGCTCAAACATATGTGACGTATGTGTGATGTTATACAATTGCCACAATCTTGCACATGTTAACTCATGTTAATGTGTTCATATTATTGCAATATGCGATCACATCATAGACTTTTGGATTGGGGATGTTAACCCCCAGATTCCTGGAGACCTGGAACCAGTCTTTGGCATCGCGAAAGTGGCCGGTCGCCAGTCATCAAACGGTCAAAAAGCTGAAGGCTCAAGCAAGTTGTCATCGACTTTGAGGCAACATATCATCCAAAGTTGAGGATGACTTGCAAAGCAGCGACAAGGTCAATTGATGCCAAACGAACATGGAGTCCGGCCAAAAGTCTATGATGCAAAACATAGATAAAGGGGTCGAAAGTAGCTTATGATGTTGTTTTTTCAATTAGATTATGCAGCGGGCCCCCAGCTAAACACACCTACTCTGCAGCTGGGCGTTAGGTTTGCGGTAGACTTGCGCTAGGGTTTGACTTAGGACATGTCAGAACGTCGTCAGGTTTTGAAGAGTGGCTGGCTAAAAGCGCTAGCCGCGCGCTAGCACTGCGCTACATCCGCGCTAGCACACATTGCCAGATTCCAGCATGGGCCCTTCCAAGGCTGACTTGCAACAAGCATTGCTTTAAAGGGCACAGAGTTCAGACAGCAATGGTTCAACTTTCTCGGGGAGCAGGCGAAAACGGTTCAGCGCTAGTGACACCTCTCACCAATTTGGTGCCAATACTTGTTTGGTCAATGTTTCCTTCATTAACCAGCTGTGTGTGCCAAAAGTAAAGAATATGTAGCGGGCCCCCATGTGAACACGACAATCAGCCATTTTTGGAAGAAAACATTTTGACCAGATCCCACATGTGCATACCTACCTACCTACCTACCTACCTGCTTACATACGTATGGTGTATAAGTATGACCGGAGAAAGCGTGACGGATGTTCACTTTGAACCTGTTTGCGATGGGTAGAGGCAAGGGCAATGACTCCACATGTTCATATAGAAGGATGCAGAAGTGGGGGTTCGCCAAATGAATCCTTTTCCCTTGCAGGAACTCAGCCTTTGGCTTTTGTTGTTGTAGCCATAGAACATCATAGAACTATTGCTTTAGCAAGTGCCCTCATACACAGCCAGAGTGCTTGGCTTTATTCACCAGTGAGGTTTCGACTACCTCTACTTGACGGAGGAGGACTACAACAGCTTGCCGACGGGCGCAGTGGTTGCGAAATCGGTGCCGGGCGTTGGATATGCCTTGGAGGCTGTGGTTGGGCACGGATTGAAATCCATCGAGGGTGGTATTGGTGTTGAGAACCTGCAGGGCAGCGGCTTGATCGCTGGAGAAGCTTTGGCTGAAGTTTTATAGATGATCAAAGTGGGGAAGAGGGGGTGACTGGCACATGATTTTGCGCTGCTTTGTTCGCTGTTGATGGGCTTGGAGGCTGTAAGCAGCACTGTTTGGGGTAGGCAAACGTGGGCAAGCAATTCTTGGATCTAAACAGACAAATGGGAAATAGGATTGTGCCAATTGTGCATTTTGCCGGGAACCGTGGGGTACGGTCGTTTTTACCTTGACTGGTCTGTTTTTGTTGATCCCAAGTTCAGGCATCCCAGACCCGATGTTGACCGCGGTATACGACGAGTCCAGAGAACTTTCCAAGTACTATCGCCGTGTGATCAGGTGTTCGATGTACTCTCTGACGACCGTCGTTCTTTTGTGCTTAGCAGCCCCAAAACGCGCTCAACAGCCCCAAGTTAGAAACAGACAGACAGGAGACTGAGACAGGCAGACCCATTGCTCACCATGGATAGAGAGGACTGTCAGACGGGCAGATACGAAGCAAAAAGAACATATTTAGATATAGGAACACATAATGTGGACTCTTGATTAATAAGCCCACCCATTTGAATTGGAAATCCTCTTCATGTGGGGGCTCTATGGTCCTCAAGAGTCTACATCGATCGTAAACACATCGATCCAAGGTGAATATTTTTTTTTTCACCTGTGAGTTGACGCATCGATGGCTCAGGAGACCTCCCGAGCATACAATGACATCTTCACCTTGTCCTACGTCACGGGCCGCAGCGTGGGCATCGGTGCATACTTGAACCGCCTGGGGCAGCGAGTCATCCAATCAGTAGATGGACCACTGGTGCTCACAGGATATGGTGCCTTGAACAAGCTGCTGGGGAAGAGTGCACCTTGAATGCCATAGGGGGACCGTTCTTTTTCCTATCTTGGCTGGTTCGGTTTTTAGTTGTTACCGATGGTTGGCCGGGGGAGGTAAGTTGAGGAGCTGCCTGCGCAGATGAAAGGATCAAGATCAGTACAGATCCATGAAGCCAGCAGCAAGTTGTTTGACTATGAAAAATTATGAAACATGTTGTGAAATTTGTTGTGTCTCTACAGTAGTTTGGTCATTGGTGACAGGTCATGGTACGATCATCTATTGATCCTGTAAGGCGGGCAGGGTGCACACGGACGAACTCGCTTGGGACCATCACGGAGATCGCACTCCAAAGATCGCTAAAACCAGCAATGGCCATGCGCCCATGTGGGGGGAATAGAGGGAAACTGTTTACTATGCCAGTGCCAGTCACATCAGTCGTGTTACAGGCTTGATATAGCTACAGGGCATTGCGCACTTCCACGTATGTGACATGTTGCGAGGATGCGTGTGACCAGAAACTGAAGAATTTGCCACATCAACCACAGGTGTGTGTGTTTTTGGTCCATTTTGGTCTTTCTAAGGGCTTGGTTTGGGAAATATCACTACATTCTATTTGGAGGTCTCTGCTGGTCACTTGATGGATCCAGAACCACCACCAGTGGACAGACCTGTTCCAAGAGCAGACCTCGGGTCCTGGTCCCAGGTCTACTTTTCTCAAGACCAACTGGGTGGTCCGCAGATCATGATGCCCAACGGCATCACCCATCAGTGACTCCGCCAACACTGACCCGGCAGGATTGGGTCAATGGGGGTGTCTTCGCTGTAATTTTTGCCCACGGATTGGTTGGTGACCCGGTGCATGTCGCGGTGCGCGTTCGGAACGAACGGGATGGAAAGCAATTGGTCGACAAATCACATGCGCCCATGGGAAAAAGGGCCAGGCATAGCCCTAAGGTCCTGCCGAAAACACGCAGAGGTAACATACCCCCCATGCATGCTGGAAAGTACTCTTCTATAGTATAGACCCTCATATGCCATGGAAGAGTTTTAGGTCTCAAATCGCCAGGCTGTTGGTTGTTTTAGATCATTATGATCATTTGAGTCTGTGTTTTCTCCTTTGGGCGTTGCGTTCAGATCGCAGCGTGTTCGTCGTTCTTGGGCCTCCCTCGGCCTCATGATGCTGTCACCAAAGTAGATGGCAAATTCGATCCCCTGGCAAAAGAAATGTATTGATATATATGCGGTTTTGTTTAGAAGAGGAGCTTGGGTCAATGTTTGATGTTTATTTGGACAGCATGTTTAGTGGCTGCAGGCTGCCTCACTAGATTGCAAAACAACAAAGGACTTTTTGGAGTGTTTGGTTTGGCTGTGAAGTTCAACTGGCATATACTGACTGCAATCACACCTATCCGCAAAGCAATTTGTTTGACAAGTCGGTGACTGGTCTTCTTGTTGATGGAGGAGCATGAAACACCTTTGCGATTTGTGGGACATATTACTGGGAATACTCACAAATGTTATTCATGTTCACTCCAAACAGGAGCACCTGTGAAGACTGAAAAACTCCAAATGGTTCTGGTGCGTTTTTCTCCCACCTTATGGGTTTTGGTTCTCCGCAAGTGGTGAACACGTTGCCATCCCCATCTTTGATGAACAAGTGGCCGAAAGCGCTTTGACTTTGACTGCGACCGACGCGCTCCTTTGCCGGTCCCGACCGACCGCGCGGGTTGGGATGGAGGGAGAACGACCAGGCTCGTGCAGAACGACCAGGAGGGAGCTGATGCGATCATCCAGTGGCTCTCCTATGTCCCTCGAGATCCCTGGAAATGAAGATTTGGAAGCCAAGAAGAAGGGAGAACATCTACAGTGGAACAGTGAACACGAGAAGGAAATTGCAGAAGTTTTTTTGGCATAATGGAAAAAATGAGTACCAGAAAGGTCAACCTACCAGAGTTTGTGAGTTTGGAGCTTTAGGTTTTGCATTTGAGAAGGGTGGGGAGATCTCGCAGACAAGAAACTCGGCTGTCATCACAACCACCTCCTACCATCGCATCTCATCCGAAGCTGGTGAAATCGACGTGTCAGGCTTGGGGGAATCTGGGAGTAGCGATGACCAGCGATGCCTCAGCGGTCACCATATAATATATCTGTTTTTGCAGAGAAATCGGATGAACTCGCCGATCATGGCGGTTTGTCCCGGATTCCTGATTCCATCCATTTGCCTCAGGATACCTGGTCCATGGTCCAGTCCATCCCCTCCGTCGACCCACCTGAGCGCTCGGTGGACTTCCGCCCGGAGCGCTCCGTGCCCTACGACCCGCGGCACATGCTGGCGGGCACCGCGCGCGACGGCCAGTGGCTCTCCGGCTTCTTCGATCGAGGCGAGGTGTTCGACGCCGTGGACGAGAGAGAGAGGGGCACTGTTTGGTGTTCAACAAGGTGGAAACATGGTTGGGTGTTGAGGGGTTGGCAGCCGGTCCTAAAGATGTTGCTTGATAACAACCCCACTACCTAGCTATTTATGATGATATATGGTGTACATCTCCGTTTTGGGTGACAGTCTATAGCTACAATAAGCCTGTACAATGTCTCATGTCAGGTCTTGCTTTCAGATTCACTTGAACAACTTTGGGTTCAAAGGAAAGCCAGCCTATAGGCTAGGCTGATGTCAGCCTTGTGGTGTTTGTACTTACCAATTTGTTGGTGAGTTTGTGACATCATCATCATCATCATCATCATCATCATCATCATCATCATCATCA